CGCAATTTTTTGATAGAATGCGACGAGCGCGGGAGGGAGGGAGACGGGGAAAAGATGAAGATTCGAAAATTCGAATTTCAAAAAATTGTGTGTGTTGTGCGCAGGCACGACGTTAAGTAACCAAAAAAAGATGTAAATCTCTCACTTTGTAGCTAAAGATTTTTAATTATTTGACTTAATTCCATTCCTCTCTATGGGTGACCTTCACTTAGGCAGAAATTGCTTGTTCTTTTCTGTATGGTACTCGTTAGGCGACTGAGTTAACATAGCACCAGCTACATCATTAACATTTTGGTATGCTGCGAGAAAACGATCAACATAGTCGTCAGCTAAAGTGATATATATCATAGCTATGAAATTTCCCGGGGCATGGTGTACGCAGCTGTAGCTGTTTTTTGTCTGCTATCCGCAAAAGACTCATATAATTGTTTCGCTGTTATGTTGTCAAAATTAGGTAGGTGCAGGGTTGGAGGCAATCGCTGTGTGACGACCTCTTAACTTCAATTTCACCGAGTAGCAAGCACCCAAAATCATTAAGATATTTAGAAGATAATTATGAAATATTCAAGTTACCAGGGTCGTATATCTCTAGATTAAGGAGCATTTTGTTGTGATTGATGATATAGCTAACCTATTAAAATATACGTACTCTGATCACTTGTATAACTTGATAAGAGACACTGCACTGCAAATGTAAGGCGTAGATGAATCAGGATTGAATTGATATCCCACAGTAGTGATATGAGTTGGGTCTTATAGAAGTCCCTATCCACCAAACTGTGTTCCAATTATCTACTCTATTCTAAACCTGTCTCATTCCCTTGTATAATTGAGAAGCACTCCGTCAATGACTTGTGTCATCAAAGAATAACTACTCCTTCACTTGACAGATCGTCTCTACGACTCGTCGCTTACATTACTCGGTGAGTACTATCTGACGCGTCTATTGTCCGGACAGTGCACGGCTCGTAACTAAGCGAGTCGTGTAATCCGATACTGGAGGTTCCACGTTCTATCTACTAGGACGTGATCTGTTTCTCTAACATAACCCTGTATTTGATTAGTGTGGATCGCAGAGGCGCAAAATCAGATGGTCCAGTTGAAACAGACAAGAGTCAGATAGAAAAGAACAGTATAGAATAGAATAAGTTGACTCAAACTTGAATGAAACTGAGCCACTGTGGGTGTAGAAAGATTTAGAATCTAGTATATATATATGAAATCAGTGATTCTCTAAGCTTGAATGTAAGTCTACTACTTTATTACAACTTACCTCTATCTACAATGCTCAGTGAACGTGCAGTTATTCACCACTAACTTTTCTACTTCCCCTAACCTTGCATTTATGACACATTTTCACCAGTAGTATACTGTTTATCGCATAGGAAAGTTGCCGAGACCTTTTTTGCGATCAAGCTTCGCCTGGATAGAATTCTTCCATCTGGTGAGGGACACCGTTATGCTGAAAAAATCTTGCTCGAGTCGTTATACGTGGTTTCTAGATACTGATGAAATAGCAAAAAGCTTTTATTTGGCTAGAGTGAGTGTAGCCAAGCTCATAGCCAGCTCTAGTCATGCTTTAGGAAGTATCACTATTATGCTGACCTTTTTTCGTCAGAATGTTTTCGTCAAGCATATATTGTAGATGTGTAAGTGCAGGGAGATATGGTTAGTCTATCTTAGAATGCGGGAAGCCCTCTCCCTATGTATACTCGAGCCCTTCCTTCTATTGAAAGGCTATGCTGAGTTGGAATGACGTACCGTTAGGATGAAGGTATGGAAGGAGGTAGCTATGGCTTTAAGAGAAGTAAAGTTCGTGAGTTATGCTCTTAGGACTTGGATCAATGGACGAACTTGAGGATATTCCCTAGTATTCTCAAGTGTGTAAATAATGTGGAGATTGTTTTAATTTCCTATTGTATGAATTGCTTAAGTTACTTACGTGACAGGATCTTCTTCTGTATACATGAACAAGGGGGTTCTGCACACTAGTGGATGTTCCAACATCTGTCCATGTCTAACCGAGAAAGGAAGGATGTGAGAGATCCTAGCGCCAATAGATACCATTAGGAATCTATTGGGAAATGCTATGTCATGCCAATGAGTGATGATCTAAGTCAGTCATATCCCATGGCGCATGTGAACATTACTCTAATGTGAACAGTTTATTGTAATGCAGTCATGTTACTCCCTTAATTACAACACCTTCATTACAAAAACTATCCCCTTAAACATCTAATTCTGCAGTGTCAGTATAACATACTCTATGTGATTTGCCCCACCAATGATAGCTATGCATACCGAAAATACAAATGAAGCTACATCCAGAGCCGTCGAAAGGCGTAATAATGGTCAAGGAGTAGATTCGTGGGAGGAAAATGCCTGCCACTTCCAGTGAGATGTACCAGGTTAGTAGGTCACATATGGACGAAGCAGAAAGAGAAATGAAAAGGTCGCTCAAATGACATCGGCGACAGCTCTCTAGGGTATCGTTGCCATATGGCCCGAGGGTTTGTGAAGTATATGGCAACAGGTTATATGCTAATTTTCGTATTATCATTATTGAATTCCTCCATAGTGTAAAAAATCCGAAATCTTTTATTTTGTGACGTCATTTTTTATTACGAGTGTAAATCCAGTCTTGACCGGCGGATTTAACATGATATTATTGGCCTAGACACCAAGCATTTGGAGTCTGGCTAATCACACGCCAGCTAGTGACAATACGACGGTTTATCTCAAGGAGCTTAAGTCACTTGTCAAATTTCGCTCTCGAGTCAGCAGTTTTAACTTTCGTTGCTGGAGATGTTGTATGTTGTTTTAGGTAGCCCAGCGATGTTACCTAGGCCGTGTCTAGCCACGATAGCCCAAATTGTCTCACAGGCTGGAGCCTGGGACTTCAAAGGGGATGAGCCCCTTATTTCTTTAGCCCTCGGGTGAGGAGGGTTGTAGAGGCGAATGGGGAAAGCAGTTAAGGTTGATCTTGGATCGGATGGCAAGAACTGGCCGATTACCACTAGTAAGTAAACTTTGAAGCCGTCTACAGAAGTTTTATTTTCTCCAGTCGAAAAAAGTGAGAGTATTGGTTCAACGCCGCTTATCACATTCGAGTAGGTTAATAAGTGTACCAATATTTGCGCTGCTCGATGCTTTTCGACTTCAACTACTGAAAGAAGCTCTGGTGGTATCAGCTATCTGGGAGCCTAATCCGTGACAAGCGAAATGATTCTGTGATTTATGGAAAAGATAGCTCAGTAAAAACAAATTGATCCATATTTCCTCCAAAATTCTAGCACTCTATACACTAATCATGATAGACATGCGCTAGGAGTGAAACAGCTGTTTTAAAAAAAAATTACTGGCACTAACTAGAACAGAAAACCCATGTACGTATCAAAAGCTCATATTTTTGGTCAGATATTTCCCAACACAACTTATTCGGTGGCTACTCTTAGCCTTCAACAGGTAGAGATTTCGCTGCTTTTATGATGACTGTGCTTTTGAAAACTGACACAGTGACTTTCCTCGCAAATGAAACTGCAAGTTCGTTCGTCTTATCTGTAAAAACTTCCTTTCCTTTCTTTGAGCTGGATCCCTCTAGGGCATGCCTGATAGGCTCTATTGTCTCGAGATCATTTTTCTGATCTGATAGAATCATAGTCGTTCGTTCCTCTGTCAGGTAGAGTGGAGTTTGAGGCATCCTCTTGTAAGAAGGTCTCACTTGCAATTATGCTTGTTAATTTTCGCACGAGTGTTTATTTTGCAGACAATATTGTCCGCTCAATTCCGTTCGTAGCTGTCGCCTTCCGAGATTTGTTCCTCACCGGAGACATATTAGAATGCATCCCGTTGGCCATCATTTCGAGAATATAAGCAAGGAAATTATCATGAAAGTGGGAGAGGGAGGATAAGTGGATTTTGGAATTTATCAAGGTCGTTCGTTTGTTAATTAATGTGCTAGGTACCTGATACTTATTGCACTTTTGGTGAAGCTTAACCATGATCGGTGCCAGACCGTATCAGGTCAACAGCCGTAGAAGTATAAAACAACCCTCTTTTCACTCGGGCATCTGTAAGCATACCTAAACAAATCTACGTTATACCACGACGAGTTCGGTAGGCTAAAATTTTTAAAAGATATATTTCCGTTCCTATTCATTAGAATAGTAAAAAATATGAATAGCTCCCCCCACTAAATTTTTTTATCCATCGCCCGATCAACTCTGAATTTGTTCATTCTGAGATTTGGTGACTAAGACTAACAGCAATTTTATGCTTCAGCGCATTAGTATCGCGTTCTCTAATTGTCGTAAATAGCTGAAATAAATAGGAGGGTGAGGCTTGAGGTGTTATGATTATTTAGGTGGTATGAGGTTTTTGTACTTGATGGTAGCTAGTCTAAAACTATCTGGCTCCAATCATATTAAGATCCGGATGATTGCGAATGGCATAAGTCTCCTATCATGCTAAATTATATATATTTCAAATTTTGATAGCTGAAGCAAAGTAGTCGTTTGCTTGGAAGTACAGAGAATAATGCTAGTTTTGTAATTGCTTTTATCTTCTTAGTTTCTATTGTTGGAGGAGGAGATTTTCGATAATGTTGGTGTCTGGAAGTCCCGTTTTAATATTGCAAATTTAATGATTCTATTTCAGAGTGTTGTAGGCCCGATGAAAAAATTTGCAAATCTTTAAAAACGAGACCTGATCAGATGTATTTTAGTAAGTTCTTCAGATAGATATAAGATGATTAGTGCTAAACATATGTCATGAAGCGCTACCGAAAAAATAGGTAAATCGTCTAATCGGTGAAATTTATCTCAGACTTTCATGTGTTAGTGTGGGTAGTTTTTATTGTATCATGAATTACTGTATTTTTCCATGTTTTTTATGCTTGTTAACCGGTGTCTGGTTAATTTGGTATACTTCCTGTACGCATTGAGTTAGGAACATTGATTGAAGAACTTGTGAATTAGACCAACGTACATGACAGTGGCTTTCTAAAAGTTTCCATCACAGTCCTCGTGAGTTATTGCCATATCTAGTACTTCTACTCTTCCCTGACCCTTTGTCTCATCGCCAACAAAATCTCCCAATAATTTGTAGACACCAGGCTCCACGAATCCTGTGACCTCCCACTCCGTTCCATTAATATTTTGGGATTCAACTTGTTCAATGAAACCTAGAATCTGATCCAAAATGGTGTCTTTAGGATCTTCATTTCCTTCTATTCGTTTCGGCTTAGAAGATCTAGAAGTTTGTTTGATGATCTTCGCAGGACAGGTGATTTTGAGCCTCATTCGCGCTCTTATAACGGGAATAGGTTGATGAGCTATCAATGCTTTCATAGCTTCTAGGGCCTGACTTTTAGAACTCTTGGTGGCAACGACACCAGTCCAGACGTGTTCCTTATTTTTAGGCTTTTCATGGTCCCCTTCTATAGCAGAAGACTTTAGATTTTTTTCTTCATGGACAAGTGTTTTCTGAGAGCTTAACATATCTAACGCCTTCGCTATGATACCAGTAGTGTATACTCTTTTTGTTTTGGGGTCAACCAATTTACTGGCAATAATGCTGACGACCTCGTTGTGGACACGTTCAAGTTGGGCTTGTCTCTCCTTTTCGCCTACCTGCAGCTCCCCCTTTGTGAGGATCTCAAGTATTATTTCATCGTTGGTTTTTCCAGGACCGAAGGCTTTGACTAGGTCAGATGCGGGGGCCGTTTGACCCTTGGAGACGTTGAGAAAGACTGAGTGGATCTGTAGAACATTATCTAGGTCCTTCTCGATCCCTGACCGCCATTCAAGGACTTTATTTTTGTAGCAAGCAACTTCGAATCGTTTCTTAGCTTTCTTGAGCCTTACCAGTGAGACATTAGTGAGCTTAATCTGGTTCGAGGGTTGATTGATGGGCATTGCTTCGTTAGCCTGTATCCAAAACTGGTAGCACAGAAATGATTTAGGGACGTGATGAGAGTGTTGATGGAATGGTAAGTGTAATCTTGTGAAAATTAAATTAAATGAGGAGGTTTAATTTGGTTGTGATGGTTTGTGTAGTGGACGAAAAAATTGGTCTTGTAGCTTTGGGGTTAATCAGATCATGCCTATTAACCATTCGGTGGATGCATACAAAATCCAAATATGATGCAAATTAAAATATACCTAGATTCGTCGGACTCAGCCGGCAAAGACGAATTCATCACCTTCCGGTGGTGCCAGTATAATCGCTCATTATTCTCTGCATATCTGGGATAGCCAAAAATAATCACAACCAGATCGAGATCTAAATCAACCTCAAACACATCTCCATTTGACGACTTCTCGACAATGCCTCTCATCATTATCATCTGAGTCCTCAGCCCATCTCTAACCATGCATCATCTCGCCTCAACGACCAATAAAGAAGTTGCTCCAATTGCATACACGAGCTTGCCCCATTAATCTCCAGCCATCTCTCACTACATATTTACAACGCTACGTATACCCGCAAGGAAGAAATTAAGACGAAAAATACAACGCCTGGGTCTTGGCCTATGGGGGGCTGTTGCTCTAATGGGACAGATAACTTCAGGGAGAACAGGCGGCTGAGATGTGGAGCGCGAGGGGGAACAGGTCTCTGAAGACTATGCTAGGACCGATATATTCGAGGGGTTTTCAACTTTGGAACGTCTGTGGGCGCCAAGACCGAGATTTCGGCTAAATACCCAGGAGGGCTTCTATTGTCATGGAGTCAACGGCACAAAAGAAATTGGGCTAAGCTACTGTACAGTAAACACACTCTATCGAGACTTTTCTGACATTTCGGCACGACCTTTGGGAAAGAGTCGGAAGGAGGCCAGAAATGCAGAGTGTGAATTTCCCGATGTACCCACAAGTCTGCAGCGCCCAGCTGGCCGGCCTCTTCGAACGCTTTAGAAGGGTCACTATGTCTTCGGACTTAGTCCTTTTTCTAGGGAGGGGAGATGATCAAGGGTAAAGAGCTTCCCTTGGTGTGCGATCGAATGAGGAATTTGCCGCAGGTAGAAAGGACCTACATGTTCCACATAGTCTTCAGACCGAGAAAGGAAAATTAAAGAATGAACAAAAATGAAATCTTATTGTGATTATGAGGAGGGGAATTGCATACAAACAGTGACTTTATCAATATGTGCTTGACACTATTATGAAGTGGACGATTATATGTGTTCGCTTTATTAGATTCGTTTCCTGATGATTGCTATCTATGTGAAGGAGAATACTCCTACTTATACCTAAAGCTCATCTATCTAATTGCTAGTAGAATATTCCATCTTGTGATGTAAGATATTTTATCATATGCTATAGAATAGTTTACATTTTTGTTCAAACCGTCCACATGCAACTGTTATCATGTCACTACATCAACCACATCTTGTATAGATTTCTATATCATCTAATACAGCTTGTCTAATTGGCTGAGTGATTTCACATCATAACAAATCTGAGAGATTCAAACAGTCAAAATCACAAACCCAATTCGAACCAGGTAAGGTCAAACACAATATTCAGCTCTTCGCCTCACCTGAACTCATCCGTATCGTCCATCGTGAGATCAATTTCTACGTAAATGCTTTTCGCCTTTATATCCCAACGCAATCAATTATATACCTACGAAGCATTAAGTAAAAATAGGCCTACAACTTTCAATTTTTAAATCAAAACCCCAGGTTGTCCCTGTAGATCTTGCTCGGCTCGGCCCATTCCTCGACCCACTGAAGCCAACAAATAAGTTAACAAGTCGTAAACCATATCTGGCATGTGAGATGCCAATCTTCTACGACGGCTGTCCGATCCAAAAAAAAATTTTGCATCAGATTTTAATTGCGTATGGAGCTATCTAGCTATGACACAATATCAAAGAAAAGTATAGAATAGATAATTCATCGTAGAGGAAGAGCAATCATGCCTCGGATTTCATTTGCAAGTACCACGATCCAAATTTGTTGTCAGTGTGACATAAACCTTTATCTCAGTTAGTAGCAACAACACCACGACAAATCTTTATCGAAAACATATATCTGACGTCTTGCTGTCATATCGACGGTAAGTTTGACAAAGACCGGGATATCTATCCTTCGGTCTTAAGCGCTTCTGTACATGTGAGGTTCCTAGTAGGTTTGAATGTGTGAAAATTGAGATAAACTTGACTTAGTGATGGTGTGGGCTACGGGTGTCTCGTGTCTCCAAACTATTCTTTCTTTTTTTGCATCAGATTTTAATAGCGTATGCAGCTATCTAGCTATGACACAATATCAAAGAAAAGTACAAAATAGATAATTAAACGTAAGGGAACAGCACTCATGCCTCATATTTCATTTGCAAGTACCACTGCGAAGTTATGGTGGCTATTCTTCACCCCAAGTGGAGTAGGTGCCCAGGCTACTCAGACTATACCGGAGAACACCACCAGGAGGCGGACCACAACACCTTCCATCGTTTGCTTGTTTTTATAGTGTCAACTGCACTCTCGCAAGCGAAGTCTTGGCGCACACAGTGCCTAATTCGTAAAACCCCTTGACAAAATTCGGAATCTCACGCCGTTCGAGGTTAAATCCTTCCTTTGCATCATCTTGTAAACTTGTCCTGATCCCTCTCACGTCCATCCCAAAGAACTGTCTCCCAGATTTGTGCGCCACGCTTTGCTTCCTCCGTCGGGTGTAAATATCGGCGTGGGCGTGCATTTGGCGGTCAACTGAGGCTAGAGAAGGTCGACGAGAGTTGTGGTCATTGGGGTGAGAATGTACTAGGTCGTACTTGTAGACTTGATGAGGCTTAGGTATGAGTCGAACTCGTTGGGAGCGAAAAATGACATGGCGGAGTATTTTGAATCATTGCCTCGTGGGCCAACTTCTTTGATATTGCGAAATTTGACTGAACTTGGCTCTGGGAGAATATTTCACTCCCAGGTTCGTAGAGGACACCGCGTACAGGTGTTCAGTTTTGCCCTCCTGTGGGGGGGGGGGAGACATTGTTTGCTAGAATAGAGGATGAATTGATAGTGATGTAAAGTTTTAAGGACTGTGAAGATTAGGCAACCAAAAGTTTGTTTCTTTTTTTTTTTCTTATATACATTCGGTCCTAAGCTAAAGCTATGTTTTCCACATTGGGTCAAGGACCGGCGGATCCGGCAGGGTTCCCAGTAACTTTTCCTACAGCCTAACTCGTTCCAACCTCGTGAATCGCTACCAAAAGTGCAGCTGATTGAACAAGAACGAAAAATCACAAAAATCAAAACAACTCCGAATACCAGAAGATTCCTCCATATTGGACCCAGTAAATGCGCTCCTCACACATTCCCTCGTCCGTCACACCTTCCAAATGACAAAATTTATTCAATCTCCGCTGAGAGCAGTAGATGAGTTAGCAGGCACCTTTGATTCAGCCGGTATCCTGCTATTGGTTAGTAGATGCCCCAAAAGGGGACATCGTCGAGGTTGCTGTGTCCTCAAACTTCTTCTTCAGGTCCCAGCACTCCGAAACCTATTGCCTCGGCCATTGACACATCCTTCGCCGCGGCGATGATCGCCTCTTCGGCCTTTTTTGCTGCAGCCCTGGCTCGTGCCACCTTCGCGAACTCCCCTTGTTCGATGTGGCGAATCCACGCGAGCTGCTCTTTGGTCACCGGTCCGGATTTTTTTGGACTGACTTGGCAGGCCCGAGAATCCGATCGGTGAGGTCCCCCACAGTTGCGACAGCGTGTGAGGGCCTTGCACTCTGTTTCGGAGTGCATAATTGATCCGCAGTTCCAGCAAGCTGGAGCGCGGGAGCAACCACGAGTGGCGTAGAAGCCCAAACAGCGTTTGCACTGTTCAATTGATCGACGAGGCTTATGGATGGTAGCCATACCCGAATCTTCGAAAAGGCGGAAGCCCGCACGAGGGGCTTCGTCCCGGTGAAAAAGGTCATGCCAGTTTCGATAAGGCGATCCAGGCCGACATGTCCCATGAGGTCGGACCTGGATTGGATACGCGCTGGTCGTAAGGAAGATCTCAGCGGTGACACTTGCAGCATCGGTCGCTACGGGGCCGTACTGTAAAACGATACTTACAGGTATGTTCGGTATCTGTAAGGCGACAAGATCCGAAGATGCTTCGAGTTTGGCGTTTTCACTTGCCAGCTTCGGAGAGACATCTAGGATCTCTTGTCGTATTTTTTCGTTCTTTGCTATAATAGCAAAGCCGGTCTTCACTCGATGAATTGAGGTTATATCATTGTAAGAGAGATTAAGCGTGTCCGCTACCTTACTTTTCACAATGTTGTTTGAGAGATTCCGCCATGGGTGCTCCTTTTCCAGGCGAAGGAACAGTCGCTTATCGACTTTCGCCTTGGGAGCTTCTTTCTTTTGGGCTCTCACCGCAGGTCGCGGCACAGCCTTTGCTATAGGAGCTGCATTTTGTCGCAGTCCATTTTTTGCCACCGTGGCCCAGGTGCTTTTTATAGGCAGCACTGGGACGGCGGGTGTTGTATTGCTCCTGGCTTCGGGAGCCCTTGGGGTCGGGTTCGCAGGGCGAGGAGGGAGGACGGGTGGCGTGATGGCCGGGCCCGTGGCCATGTATTGCACAATGGCGGCGCGTAAGTAGACTCTCATCGAGTCTACGAATTGTCTATTTGACCCGTTGGTCAAAGGGAGGAGGGTGGCTTCGACGCCAGAGATGGCGGCGGAGCAGAGGGCCAGATTTGCCGCTGTTTCGGCGACGCGTCGTTGTTCAGCTTCGACAATTGGTCGAAGCTCTAGGGGACACTCTGCTTTTGTGGCAGCTTTTGGCTGCGACGTTGATTTTGGCGCTGCTTTGACTGCAGCGTTTTCCGACGGTTTTGGCGCTGTCGGAGGAGATTTTGACGATGCTCCAGTCCCGCGAGGGACGGAGGATGGTTGGGGAAATTCCTCAACAATTTCA